TTTGCAGAACCGGAGATTGAACTCAGGACCTTATGCTTGCCAGAGAAGTGTTTATTCCACTGAGCCATCTCCCCAGCCCATCAACAGCTTTGAGAGTCACAAAATACAAACCTAACACAATAAAGTATAACAGGCTTAGGGAAATGGTCCCTTGGACTATATAAGCTGGAATACTGAGGTAACCAATTGACCTCTAACACTATGAAAACTAGTTACAGCATCTAATTCATATACATTTCAAACCAAAATCGATTATTGGCTTTAGTGTATAGTAAGTTCAATACATTCTTTACAAAATATTTATTCTACTGGAAATTTTCTCATCAATAACCTTGAAAGATCAGAAAAGTATGATACTTAAGGAAACTTATTTATGACTTAAAGCTATAGTTTGTGGATCCATGAAAAATGGAGTGATACTAATTAGAAATTTACTGCATCTTTAAAACTTTTATTTTTCTATGTATTTGGTACAGGGTCTCACTACGAACCTCAAACTCATAGTGATCCTCCTGTTTTCAGATTCCCCAGTGCTATGATTACAGGCGTGTGCCACTACACCCAGTCTTGGTTTTGGACTTGGCACACCCGGGGGTCAGAGCTGGTGGCATGTAGTACCCGGGTCCCTGCTCTTACCTAAGCAGGCTCTTAGTCTACTGAGCTATCTCGCCAGGCCTAAAACCTATTTCTTATTAAAACCTATAAACTTGAACTACAAGACACAACTTTTTAAAATGACAAAATTTCTCAAAATAGGTTAAAATACAAAAAATATTTCATGAAACTACTGATATACTAACCAGAGCTATGGCTAACAGCAAAAGTTGAACATTCTATTTAAACCAGAGGCATACTACACTTTACACACAGTGAATGATACAACCACAATAATCAACTTTAAGCTAGCAACAATGTCACAAGATACAAAAGAAACATCTTCAGTGGGCAAAATGCTATGGCACAATTACAACATTGAAGAAGGGAAAAATGCCTTTTAACAGTATAGAAGTTGGGCTGGAGAGATGGCTCAGTGGTCTAAAGCACCTACTTGGAACAAGCTTAGCAAAGCACAGGGACCACGGTTCGATCCCTCAGCACCACGTGCCAGCCAACCCTGCCCCCTGGTGGGCTGAGCTGGCCCCCCCCACACACACACACACATAAATAAATTTAAAAAAAAAATTTAAAAAAAAAAAAACAGTATAGAAGTTGTTCAAGCTAGCACCACTCCCAGCACCATCTTGTCACACATCCTCACCGGACATCACAGAGGCAAGAGAGTGGTCTTCCTGAAGTAGTTGGACAGTGGCTTGCTACTTGTGACTGGGCCTCTTGGCCTTAATCGTGTTCCTCTATGAAGAAATTTGTCATTGCCACCTCTACAAAAATTGACATCAGCAAAGCGAAAATCCCCAAACACCTCACTGATGCTTACTTCAAGCTGTGGAAGCCCAGACACCAGGAGAGTGAGATCTTCGACACCGAGAAAGAGATACCAGATTTCAGAGCAGCATAAGGTGGATCAGAAAGTGGTGGACTCAGATTTTAGCAAAAATCAAAGCTGTTCCTCAGCTCCAAGGCTACCTGCGATGCATTTTTTTGCTTTGACAAATGGAATTTATCCTCATAAATTAGTGTTCTAAATTTTTAAGAACCTAATTAAATAACATACATTTACAAAAAACTGTATAGAAGTTGTTTCTATGATAGTTGAGGGAAGTCACCACTGGAAATATTAAAGGATATTATTCGGTCTCAAAGGAAGGATGCTAATGAGAAGAAAAACTGAATGTATAATATAATCCTTAAAGCAATGGTGTTTCTACTATAAAGCTCTCCTGAGCTGGGGAGATGGCTCAGTAGAATAAGCACTTCTCTGGCAAGCACAAGGGCCTGAGTTCAATTCCCAGCTCTGTCCAAGAAAAAAAAAAAAAAGCTCTCCTATGTATCAAAATATAAAAGCAACTATATATGTGACAAGTGATCAGAAATCACAGTGCAGACATTTAACATTTGGTTGAAAACTTCAGTATAACAGATTTATGACTTAGTATTCATTATGCAGTTACGATCTGAAGGGTACAACATTCTTACTTGGCAATTGGTTTTTTTTTTCCCCTTTCAGCTATCTGTCATTTCACTTCTCCCTGTCTGTATGGTTTCTGTCACCTGCCGCTAGGCATACTGGAATTGTCTGGCATGTGATTTGCTTCTTGGTGCTTCTAGAATCCTTGCTCTTTGACAATTTCATTTCATGGAATAACCTTACTTGGAAGACACCTGGTCTTCCTATTTATATACTTCCAAATTTGAATTTTTCTGTTATCTCTTTAAGGTTTCTACCCCTTTCTCTACTCCTTGAACAGCAACTCATACATTTCCTTTGTATGCTATTTTCTAAGTCCATGAATCATGTGCCTTTTTATCTTTTCTTCCATTTTGACAAAGCATTCTGTTGATGTTCTCTATTAAGCTGCTCAAGGGGCCAGGGAGATGGCTCAGTGGAATAAGTGCTTCCCTGGCAAGCGCAAGGGCCTGAGTTCAATCCCTGGTTCCGAAAAAAAAAAAAAAA